TAGTAATAGAAACAAAAGCTTTAACTCCTTCACGAAAGACAGCTACTATGAATAAGCATTAGGCAATTTGACCACTGTGACCGTTTCCAGGATTTTGAGGTTTAAAAGCTTGAAATGATTGTTGTTGTTGAAAGTGATTAAGCAAATACAATTGTATTTTTTAAGACAGAAATAAAATAGTAATTACTGTTATTAAAACAAGAGTATGAGCATTTTAGGCTTCATGTGATATTCTAATAACTTATCTTATATTCACCCAGATAAATAACGTAATCTATAAAACAAAACAAATATTAAAATTCTTTGTTTTTTTAATTGAGATTGGCGTGTGGTTTCACAACGACCACAAATGTTAGCATGTTTGCATTAAATACGCAATAAAATTGAAACATTTCTTACCGAGTTCAAAAGAGTGTTCAAGAGGTACCGAGAAACCACTTAACTCAGTCTCCAAAGACTCACCAACCTGAGAATAAAAGCAAAAAATCCACATTTTATCCTCTGACAGCTCCTCGAACAACATGAATAGAGCTATCCGCAATGACAGATCGGCTAATAGGCTAGCTAAGAGCTAGCGTAAAGCATGCGATTCATTTTATAATAAACGCAATAACGTAACATTTTTCTTACCCGTCGCCCGTTGTTACAACATATAAAATCTGTACACATAAAGAACAAAACAGTGAAAAAAACTGCAACTTTAAAGGGCAGAAAACGAGCCATTTTCTTGGCTAATGTCCGTACCGGAAGACAACAAAGATCACGGCAACAAAACGATATCCCACATCCGGAGTTTTTCACAATAAAGACAACATTAGGTTTTCGTTATATTTTAAACGTCAGTTCATGTTTTAAACAATATTTTTACGATTACTCWTTATGTATTATTTGAACTAAATGTTGAGGGTAGAAAAAATATATTCAATTATCTGTCAATTCAAACATTTTTCCTGCAGTAACAACGTATAACCAGCAGAGGTCACCAGAAGACCAGAATAAACCTCCTCAACCTTTGTTTCACCCAATGAGCCTGCAGCGCTTCTTAACACTAAATATTTATGTCCTGTGTGGGAAGAGAGTCATTCATCTTTTTTAAATCCTTTAGTCAGCACACAGTGTCCAACTTCAACCCCATTTTTTAGTTTGTAAAATATTATTTAAAGAGTACATTTGCATTACATTTCAATAAGTCACAACTGTTTTTTTTTTATAATAAGACCTGTAAATGGTATGTTGACTCATTCAGTTTTATAGATATAGAGTTAAATTTCGATGTGGAGGTAGTTCAGATTGATTATAAATATTCTGAGTGTTAATGAATTGTGTAAAACCTTTGTATAAAAATGTCTATTTACTATTTAAAGTTTATTATCTGTTGGTTTTTTAGCAATGTATGGTATGAACCACTGGGTTAAGCTGCACAAATTAGGTGCTTTAATGCTAAACTAAGCAAAGCGTTGTTTCTAAAGTAAATGCATCAACATTTGTCTTTAAAATGAATCATTTTTTTAAACAAAGGACACAATTTGTTGCCCTATTTGCTAGTTATTCCTCCCCGTGGCTTCTGTCGTGGTTTATTAGCAGCATCCCATCAATTCATCAGGCTCAATGAGCACCGACCACAATGTGTGGCACCTCTGAGCCAGAATTCACGGATCGTTGTTCTTTCTCTCCTGGCCTGCAGGGATCAGATTTTGGCTCCAGCTGCTAATTTAACAAGCTGCCACAACACTGCTGGAGAGTTTGGGTCGGCTAAAGGGCGGAGTGACGGAAACTTCACCGACAGGGTTCGGAGCCAGAGGTGCCCAAAGCTGGGAAAAAGTCTCATAAACCAAAACGAAGGGAAGTCATCCGCAGCTCTGCTGAGCGTGATTGATGTGAATTATTTCTCCATGCTTATTCTTGGCTGAAGAGTTCTGCTGACACAAAGTAAACCTTGTGGGGATAGAAGCGAAAAGCATCCATCATTTCAACATTTCACAATCAAAAAGCTAAAACAGGAGTTTTAAATTCAGTTATATTCTTAGAAAGGCATGTCAGTTCTATTTTTGGCATCMAACTTGCTCTAATTTCATTTTGTTGTTTGTTTTTAGAAATCTTGTCCAAGTTGCTCTGTTGGAGGTTGTCACCAGTTTTTATTTATCTTTCTAATCTTTAAACAATCACTGATAGATTTTCATCCTTCCTGTTGGACATGTCTCTAGAAACCTGCAGTTTTAGCTGTTTTAAGGCCGACTTGTTGCTGCATTGCTCCGAGGAAGAAAACATCGCATCCCAACATTTTTAATGTTTTATTTGACGCATCGTTGATGAAGCAGACTTGAGCTGTCGGCTCAAATCTGTCGTTTAAACGCTGAGAAAACGTCTCTTTTCTTGCATCATGTCGATGCGCCGGCTGATACCCCTTCTTTTGATAATCTATAAAACCTTCTAAAAACATTTTGCCTGAGAAAAATCAATCCACGACTCACGATCAGCATAAATAATTTGATTTTATTATAATCCTGACGCTCGTGTGTGAAGGAAGAGGAGTTAATGTGCTCCTCAGTGAGGCCGAACTAATGAAACTGTTAAATAACTTCACGTCCCCCGTCGGGAGCGGCCCACCGGATCCTGTAGGACWCCCGCAGTTATTCTGCCAGATCCATTTTAAATCCATAACTTCTGAATCATTTCTATTGATTTAAAGGCCTGGGCGTGTGGATAAATCACTGTGAAGGCATCWGTGGGGTTTATGAGAAGTGATTCATGTTAAAAATGTGAAGATTTAATATACAGTAAGTGTAAGCGACTCYGTGACCTTTAATGTTCTGTTCAAACACTTCTCTGTAATCGTCCTCAAGGGTGTTTCGCTCTGCTTAAAAACCAGCGTCTGAAGCCGCCGTTCCTCGAACTCTGACTCAAGTTCCTGCTGGAAAATTAAAGTCTGGCAGGGTGTTTATTGTTACTGCCAAGGTTATGGCTGCCTGGGAAGTTTGGGCAGCGAGACGATGGGAGCTGCATGTAAAAGCAGGTGGAGAAATGGAAAAATAATAAACGTTAACGCTGATGTGTAGAACTCACGTTTGGTCCGAAGTGTTGCTTAGATTCACAGTTCAAGTATTTATTGTCACAAACAGGTTGTTTTTATTGTTTTCAGTTTCTCTGGGGCTCATTATTTTTGTCCCGTCAGGTTTTTGTTCCCGTGTAGAACCAGTTAGTCTCTGCTCAGTCTGGCCACGCCCACCTCACCTGTTCTTCGTTTCATTAGTCACAGCTGCATCCACTCCTCTCATCAGTGCCAGTTTACATACGCCGTGCGCTGAGTATTTATTCTACAAACCACGTCAGGTCCTCCTCTGTTGTTATTTCTGTCCTATAGGTAGAGTTTTGCTGTCACACCAGTGTTTTTCAACATAAAGGTWTATTTTCTGGATATTACGGAGAATTTGGGGATCCTAACTGATCGCTGAATTTGCAAACAAAGAAGAGAAATTTTTGTGGTTTTCTAAGAGGTTTTAATTTTTTAAAACTAAAACCTTGATGAGTTTGAATTAAAATAATTCCCAAACAATAATTTCTTGATGTGAAAATTGTGTTCAAAGCATAAAAATTCAGAACAATAATGTTAAAATTTGTATTTAGATGACTTCAATTCACTTCAATTCCTTTATTCATTTCATTAAAACAAAACAAATACATTTATATACAATAAGAAGAAAAATATTAAAATAAAAATGTGAACAAAATAAACATGTATCAAAATCACAAATAAAATTAAATGAAAGGCAGCAGAGAAGAAAAAAATCTTATATCTGCTGCTTTTTCCCCAAGAATAAGTTCATATAACAAAAATCTATATTATCAAAACAAAAAACAAGAACATCTAATCCCTCTACAACAATTTATATAGATACACATTATACTGTTTCATATTTCTTTAACAATCCAATTTTTATCATTTTCTTAAACCTACACAGTGATCCTGCATTTTTCTCCCCAAATTATTCCATAGTTTTACTCCTTGAATTAAAGCACACCGTTCCTTCAAACTGGTTCTGAATTTGGGTTTTACAAACATCTCTGTTCCTTTAAGGTTTTAACAYCTCTTTCTCTTAACAAAATTTACTTGAATGTTTAAAGATAATGTGTTTTTGTGGGCCTTATACGTAACCAGTAGACTATTATAATCAACCAAATCAAACAACTTCAATATTTTCAATTTATAAAATAATAAATTTGATGGGTGACGACAATGTTTTCCTGTAATAATTCTCACAGCTCTTTTCTGTAATAAAACAAAACAGGATTTTAAATGACACTTTGTATAAAAATGAATAAAATGAGTGTTTGGTAGATTATTTCTTTGCTTCTTGGCAATACATCTTATACTGGGAAAGCCTGTTTATTTCTCTTTTTAATGGTGCCACATTTGTAAGGAACGTGCATTTGTGTTATGTGTTATCTCCTCTGCCAAACAGCTTACTGGGTGCTGCCAATGACAACATTTATTAACATTGTTACAACAAATAATCTAGCAAACACTAATTTTAATAGGTTTRGTGCTGAGTTTACTTCCTGAATAAAAAACTGAAGCCTCACAGCTGTAAGCGCTGTTCTTACACATTTTGTTTCCTCACCTCCTCCTCAGTTTGTTTAACAAGGCCTGCTGTGATGAAGACAATAGCTGAACTTTATGTTAAAAAAAAGCCACACTTCACCAGGGTTTGTAGTTCAGAGTCTCTGACACAGAAAAGCGCTGGTAGCCTTTAAATCGACCCAGATTTCCCAGAAGTTACAGGAGGAAAACCTACAGAGCCGACCATGTTAGAGGGGAGAAAACAAGTCACAGAGCTGTAAAGTAACTAAGTACAAATACTTTGTTACTGTACTTAAGTATAATTTTTGGGTATCTGTACTTTACTTGAGTAATTATTTTTCAGCCTACTATTTACTTCTACTCCTTACATTTTTTTAAAAAGGCAAGAAGTTAAGAAGTCGCTACTTTTATTTCATTTTTGCTTGTTTTCATTCCAGCTTGTTATTATAATAAATAAAAACTATCCATATAAACTGTGCCTCTTAGATAGAGTGAATTTAACTGTGGCTGAATGAGAAGTATAAATGCATAAAACTCCGATAGCATATTAGTTTGTACACAAACAAATCATGTCACACTCCAGCAGGACAGAATCATTCAAATTAAAGGACTGTACTTAAGAAGTATTTGTATTTCATGAATTATATTATTACATTTGGCCGCAGCCCTCAGATAGATTTTCATTTTGGGGAAAAGCTTTGTGCAGCCTTGATATATGTATATAAACTGAAACAGCTGGACTAGTGCATCCTAAATTTAACATCCATTCATTCTTTTAATACAACAGTCATTTCTGCAGTTTTTGGGGAGGTCACCTCCTAATAAATGTCCTTACAGAYAATCTAACTGCTCATTTTAAATCGTTACTTTGACTTTTAATACTTAACTACAACAAATATCACATACTTTAAGACTTTTACTCAAGTAATTTTCCTAAAGGAGACGAACTTTTACCAAAGTATTTTTTTGGTAAGATACTTGTACTTTTACTCAAGTATCACTTTGTGGTACTTTATAAAACACTGACAAGTCGAGCCAAGAAATGTTAAAACATTCAGTCATCTCCTCTCTGGTTGTTTTCTGTTCACATCTGTGTCTTTGTTTCACCTTGTCACACACCTGTCAGCCATTTTTTAATCAACTCGCCTGCTTCCTTTCACCCCTCCTCAGTTTGGATCACGACAGAAACYAAACAAGATTCTGGACAGGAGATGTTCTCTCTGTCCTGGAAGCACCTTGGGATCCCTGAGGAGGAGCTGGACGTCCTGCATTTATTCTTTCAGCTCAAAACTAGAATATCTGAATAACAACAGCTGCTTTAAATGAGTTTCCAAGGATTTATGTCATGTTTTTACTAAACGATTGCAGTTTTTACCACTAAATTCCTGAAGATACAGATGACTAAAGGGCAGCTGTTAACGGTATAATATAAAACCCTTCCTCTCCCTCCATTCAGATAACTTTAGCCTTTCTGCCTGCACCTTCCTGTCCCATTAACATAAAACATATCTGAGCACGGCAGCAGCCCTCAGTCAAACTGCCAGCAGCTGACAGGCATCAGTTAGTTTGTTAATGTTACATCTCCAGAGCATAATGAGTTAATTAGCTGGCAGTTTTTTTTTTCCTGAGGCAAGGACCTTTTTCTTTTTCCCCCCAGCTTTACCCTGAACAGTGTCTTCCTCATTCCCTGTAAATCCTTGCAGCTCTTGCCAAGGTTTCAAGTGACAACCATTCTGCCTCTCTCCTCCTCTCTTGTCCCACTCAGGGGAGGATGGCGGTGGTGGGAGGAGGAGGCGTGAGCTGATAAAAGGGGATGAAGAGACGTGCAGGCAGCTCCGCTGGGAGGCAGGAAGGAAGAGACGCTTTCAGAGGAGTCCCTGTAAACAGACACAACCATGCCTGAGCCCCAGAAGCCAGGTAAGACGGGCCATTCTGAGAGAAGAGAAGCAGGAAGCTGCTGCTTCTCTTACATGTTCAGATGTGGAACAAAGGAACCCGAAAGAGGCTGAAAGCTGAGTGGAAAAGCGTGAGACACATCAGCTGGGTTTTCAGTGATATTTCTGTGTTTTAGTCCATAAACTCAAGGTTTTTCAGGCTTAAAAACAAAAGATGTGACTCTATTCTGAACAAAATCAATAAATCATTCTCATTAATGCATCTAACATATTACTGCTAAGCAGTCAGATCTTGTAATCTTTTAAAGTGATCCAAATCCACACTTCTTCAGGATTTCTGAAGGTTTTTCTTTGGACTTTTGCTGATTTGATCTCATTTTCCAGTCCAGTCCTCGCATGTTGTGCAGTTTGTGTTTCAAATGTGAACAAGTTGAGGGGAAAAAAAYTAACATTTTCGGGCCTAAAAACGATATCTCCTGACAGATACAGTCTCGTCTCAAGGAAATAGGAAAAAAAATCCAGCAAAGACCACAAATCCATGGGAACAAATTGTTTCTTTGTGACGAGKTTCTAACAAAAAGCAAAAGTTAAAATTGCTTTTTTGCCAACGCTGTCTGTTCAATGTTTTTATGACTGAATGATTTATGTCAAATGGTTTAATATGAGAAGGAAAATGAATGAATTAGTTTGGTTTTAGTTTGATTAGAAGCAAGTCATCACTGTGTTTTAGATMTTATGTTTGATTCAAGCTCGTGTGTTTCAGTGTCTTTTTTTTGTCTGAAATCACTAAAAGTGCTGTTTTTAACACAGAGCAGAACATTTTGTGGCAAATATCTCAGTGAAATATAACATGTTAGGTTGTATTTAATCAAATCAGTAATAAAATGAGCTAAAACGACGAGAAGGAAATGCATGACAGAAATGTTTTTACAGACTTTTACTGGGACAAATATTTGGAGTGGAAATCCCCTCCTGCAACTGAAAACATTTATTTGACGTCACAGCACAGTCCTTATCATGTAGAGAGATAATCAAAGTAAACAAAATTATGCAAATCTTTGTAAATACCAACTAATAAAAGAAACCCCATCTCACTCACTCATAATAGGCTCCCACTGCACCATAAAGCGCACGTGAACAGTTCCAGTAATGTGCTATAATCCTGTAATYCGTGTGCCTGAACGTTCAGCAGCCTCTTTGCTGAAATGTTAACCGACCACAGCGCTGCGCTGGCTGACATTAAACTCTGCAGCCTGTAATGTTTCTATCAATCACGCAGGCTGAAATGTGCTCTGCTGCTTTTGTCAACAGCCACCTCAGAATATCATAAATCATCTGACGGCTTGAAACACCGGGAATAAAAACACGAAGCCGGGGCAGAAAGAAGACCGTTGGTTTTTCTGRGTGTAGCGTCGTGTTACTCGCTGCACCACCTGACTCGTTCTAAAGATGGGCTTTTTTTTAAAAAAAAAAAAGGAATGATCCTAAAAATCCAGTGCTGTAGTGTTAAATAAGCCTTTCATGGTTGCCAGATAAGAAATGACAAATATTGCTGCTTTAAATTATCATTCCACCCCCCAACATTGTTTATTTGGATTTTAAAATCCCTAAGTTATAGACAACATAGAAGTCTTCCCTTCCCAAAAAAAAAAAAAATCACAAATAAGAGTGTTAACCTACGGAAGCTGAGAGCGGACATTTTCTGCTGATAATTTTTTTCCATGATTTTCTCGTGATAACAGTATAATTTTTTATCACTAGAAAACTGACATTTTGTGTCATTATCATGAAATACCAATGAGCGTTTTCTTGAGATAAGTTATGGTTTTCCTCTCYTGCATCATTCTGTAACCGTGGACGGCCCGGTGTCCTCACCGATGAAGTTTATTATATAAACAGGATCACTTCAGTGTAAACTGTCGAGCTGCAGTCGGGCCAGTCGTCTCCTTAAACGACGAGGGCTGCGTTATACAAGACAAACCACAATTTCAGCCCGTGTTATGACAGTAAACTTCATCTGTGACCAGCTGAGGAAAGAGGATAACCATAACTCGTTAWCTCWAGAAAATGCTCATCGTTTTCTCGTGATAATGACATAATATGTTATTACCACGAGAAAACCATGGAAAATAATTGTCAGCAGAAAATGTCCGCTCTCTGCTCCCGTATTAACCTGCATGAAGAAGACGTTGGTGAGGACGATCAGAATACAATCAAAGAAAAAAAAACTCGTGAGTTCGTTAATTTTAAGGCAGCTACCACAGACAACTTAATCAAGAACCAACGTTCAAAATCTTTCTTAAATTTTAACAGTAGGGGAGAAAAGTTTATGTGTGATTTGAACTCTGAGATAAGTCAAATTATCATTAGTTGTTTTAAAAGGAGGGGCTTTAGCTGCCAAACTGATAGGGAACAGCTCACTTTGAATTATTTTTATTATTATTTATTAAACGTTTATTTCACCAGGAAAATCCCATTGAGATTAAGAATCRCTTTTGTAAGGGAATWCTGGCCAAGACTGGCATTAGATTTATCCTCTATATCCTGCCAAAATCTGAGAGCAGATGCAGAACTGCAGGAATAAATACCTGAAGATCTGAAACATGTAGAAGTAAGTCATCAGCGTAAAGAGAGACTTTTGATTCTGGATCACATTGTGTGGCTAAAACTCCATTCCAAATAAAAAGGAGCTCAACAAACCCCCCTCTTGTTGATTAAAGAAGGTGAACGTATACTGACTTAAGTGTTGAAAGTCCTGACTGATGCCTGGGGATTAGAATAAACCAGATTTTAATTTATTTTTAATGTTTTTTCAACCTCACATTGGGCCTCATGCAAGAACAGTTCATACGAACAGATTTGTTCTTAAGTTGTGCGTACGAGTGATTTAGGAGAATTTGTGGTTTTCACCAATTTTCTAGTATTTTAAAAAAAAATTTCAGATTCGAACAAAATTCACAAGTGGTCCAGACCTGTCGTATCTTTTACGCACTGTTAGTCCGCTGTTATCCAGACAGATTTTTCTCATTAATAACTTTATATTT